CGTTAGCTTTAACTGGTAGCAACAAATATTTATAAGCCACCGTCTTTGCTTGGCAATCCATGAAAACTTAAAATATATCAGGAATACAACAATGTGCATAGTATTGCTTTATTTGCATTGAACTACAACTTTGTCTTTTCTAGCTGTCATGGTAACTCAAAGCGGAAACAAGAAAGTCGCATTTTGCTCATGCGGATGTGACATCAGCTCTGTATGTGCAAAGAACCCATTGCTGATAAATTATAAACTTTATTTTTACTCTATTTACTATTTTCAGTCAGAAAATATGAATGCCTTCATGATTTAATTTGTGAAACTGAATAGTGGTGGTTGCTCAGAGGACATAGATGAGATGTTTATAATTGTTTTGGATTACTGTGTATATTGGGAAGAGAAAATCATATGGCAAAGACAACACACCACATAGACAGATTTCACTCATGAAATTTCAGATTGAAATCTTACAAAACCTCTCGATCTTTACTCTGATCCTCATTCATCAGAATAAAGAAACCTGATCAATGAGGAAGAAGCAAAGATGATAGTTTGTTTCATCTATTTTTAACAGAGGAAACATTTTACAAAAAGTTGTCTGATGTCCACCAGACTTTCTGGGTCAAGGCAGTTGTTTGGTCTTCCATGTCTGCTTTATTTCACCTGAGCACAGCTCTTATTGGCTGTGCTCACATTTGTCCTCAAGAAACACCAGTGATATCAGGTCAAGATGATCCAACATGTTGAAAACCTCCAATTTCAGATCAGACTCAGATTTATTATTTTAATACATATAAAAAGACATAAAAGCTATCAAAAGTTAAAAAGTAAAAACTTTTAGCATTAGGTCTAATTCCAGTTTAATACAGCCAGATCTAGTGCTGCTCAGCATTTCGGAGCTGTCCAACAACTAACAAGGCTGAAAATTGAATGTAAAGCTGCAAATTCACAGATAGTCCATTTTTGACTTCTTTCGCTGAGATAAAGCGTTTTTGGCTTCTGGCTTGCTGATCATTTGGAACATGAAAAATCATTTTGGTACCAAGAAAAAGACATAAATCAGTCCAGTGACACTGGACAATCCAGAGCAGTCCAGACCACCTTCTAATCAGACTAGCTCACTCTTTACACACCACATAGAGTTGGAATATCTCCCAAGATTGTTTTTAGAGACATGGTGATAATAGAAGCATCCTTAAAATCGATGGAATGGGAAAATGAGGTCAAAATCAGCATAATTATCTTGCCATGTGAGCCAGCCATTTCAAATCATGCACCTTTAAGCTGAAATAAAATGCTATCATCCTTTATAACCCAAAGAGTTCACTACCAAAACAGCATCATCTCCAAAATTCAGAAAGGAAATGAAAGTGTTGCTGTTTTTTTTTTTGTCAACATATAGTTTTTGATTAAAATGTGATTAATTAATTACACATCCTGAAATTTAGTCAATTAAAAGTTCTATTCGAGTTCCACCACTTGCATTTATATATTTTACGAAGAAAAGTATTATTATTTTTAGTATTAATACTACAGCTTGTCCCTTGTTTTCTCTAATTATCTTCCCTGTGTAAAACTCAATCTGTTTAGTGCTAAGAACTCCATTAAAAGAGGTTGCTGGCATTTGCACACAGCACTCTTCACCCTCCACAGTTTAAAGAGGCAACCCCATGCATGTGGAGTGAGACAATGACCCAATAACAGACGCAGCCTGAACCTGAGAGACTGCGAGGTAAAGGCATCCCCAGACAACATTCTCCAGGGATCTTCACTTGTTTGAGTAGTTAGTGTTATTGATATTCAGCTCCTGTGTCACATACAACTTAGTGGTAATCCTATCTGCCTGCAGGGCCCCAACTTACTACTTCCATCTTTTACTCTGCTGACAGCTGACCGTGAGGAGTGATGAATGGAGGAGTCATGTCGCCATCCCAGCACACAACCCTCATATATATGTGTGTGTGTGTGTATATATATATATATATATATATATATATATATATTATATTTAAAATCATAAAAGTACTTTGTCAACAAAGTGTATTTAATAAAGGATGTGCATATACACGTTACTTTTGTATAGACCTGTTGCTTATTTAATAATGACACATTTAGAACTTAATCATTGCAGGACTCTGATAAAGGTATTTTTTCTCCGATAATATTACCTGTTTTTTTTTTTTTACTCGCATGTAAATGTTTCAGATCATCAAAGAAATGTTAATATCACACAAGCGTAACCCAAGTTAAAATAAAAAGCAGTTAACGAATGACTATTTCATCTATATAAAATAGTCTTTTTTTTCCCTATATGAAGGGGGAAAAAAACATCCAAAACGACCTGAATAATCTCCCTACGTGTGAAATAATACATCAACTGTAACTAACCCAGTATTTCTCAATTCCGGTCCTCAGGCCCCCCTGCACCTGCAAGTTTTAGGTGTTCCCTTCTGTCACACACCTGTATTGAATCTGTGGGTGATTAACAGGCTTCTGCAGTACTTGGTTGCTGCAGAAGAGGTCATGCAATCATTTGAATCAGCTGTTCTGGAATAGAGGCACATCTAAAACATGCAGAGCAGGGGGGCATGAGGACTGGAATTGAGAAGCAGCAAACTAACCACATGTCAAAGGCAACTGAGTTTAGTTTCATCAGCCACACCCAGCCCTGATTACTGCCTAGCCTATAGAATCAAGAAATCAATTAAACAGGACCTGTCTGACAACCTGAAGTTTACCTAATCTATGTAAATTGAAGAACAGGTGAGAAACAAAGTTACTGACATTTGTGAGTCTCAAGACTCCTAAAGTCATTGAAATGTTTTTTGTTAACTCTTTCCAAACTGACAGCGAGGATCATTATCCTTAAAAGAATAAAACATGGAACAATGGCCAAGAGTGGCCAGCCTACAGAGAAGAATGAAGAACAACATCTACAGCTTTGCAGGCCATGCTGCTGCAGTGAAGATCAACGTTCATGATTCAATAACAAAAACCAGAGACACACAAAAAGAGAACCACAGCTGACCCAAAAGCACACAAAGGTTTATTTTACATTTGCATTAAAGATTTTGGGGAAAATATTCTGTGGACTGATGAAACTAAAGTGGTACATCCTGGAATATGTGTACCCTGTTACTTCTGGTGAAAAACTAACAGCGCTAAAGAAAAAGAATATCCTACCCAAAGTAAAACATGGTGATGATGTTACGGTCTGCAGCTACTGTCCTGCTTCAGGAACTGAACAACTTGAGCTAACTGATTAATTCTGTGAGGATTTGGATTTTATGTGTCTTAAAATTTTCAGTTAATTGAGTCTCTGTGTTGCCCCGGTTACCCCTTGTTTGTCTCCAACTGTCCCTTGTTTTCCCTAATTACCTTCCCTGTGTACTACTTGTGTCTCTTGTTCCCTGTCGGATCCTTGTTTAAGCTGTCATGTCGTGTGTCTAATGTCCTATATTCCCAGTGCTACCAGTGTCTACGTTTTCCTTGCCTCATCTGTACTGCCTGGATTTCTGTTCACCTTTCGTTTATCATTAAAACAATCATTTTTCATCTCAACCTGGATCCAGCCATGTCCACCCTCACCACAAAACCTACAACTCATGACAAATTTTGCTCTCTAGCTCTATGTCCATAAGCAGGACGTTTGACTTAATTTGAATCAAAACAACAAGAATAGTGGGTCAGGTTGGTTTGGATAGATGTCTAATGTAGTAAAAGTAATCAGCATATAAAAAACTGCTTTTTGAACTTATTCTACTTATCTTCACCTAAAACTGCATTAGTTTGATGTAGTTTGATTTGCACTACAAAACATCCTTTGTGATTGTGATGTTGGCACTATATTCTTTTCACAACATAGAATACATTGAAAGTCCTGGCTGAATATTGTATTACGTCTATAAAGGATGCTAAAAACTGTTCAGTCAGATAGCTTAGAGAATCAGTCATTAGAAGCTTTAACAGTTTGTTTTGCAGCTGATTTACTGATTAACCGACTGAACCCTTCAGAACATAAAAACATTCCCTGATTACTGGGTTCATTCCTAATCTCATCCTCTGTTTTCCCTCCCATGTTGTTGGGCTCACAATGACTCAAAGTCATCAGCTATTATGGGAATCAAATGAATGACGTATCTTCCATGAAACCTCCCCTGATTAAGATCTCTTCGTGTGACAACAGTTTCTTGCAGCTCTGATTGCCAGTGCTGATCCAGTTTCCCACGCTGCCTCTCCAAGTAAGGAGCTGGAGCAGGTTTTGTTTGGCTTGCTGCTCTGTTTGGATGAGATAATAGGTTACCTGCCACTTTTTAATCAGAACCACTTTGGAAAAAAAACATTAGTTTTCCCTCAACACAGGAACCGTCCCACTCCTCTGTCATCAGCAGCTGAAGCTATGCACTGAACTGCTGAACCAAGACACAACTGTGAGCATCAAAGTCCTGTCTTCATAGGAAAGACATGGAGCTTTGCCTCCAAAGCCCCCACAGAGGAATGTTATATGTCCAGACAGATAACTGATGATACACACAGAGGTGGCTCTTGCATCAGAGATGCCCTAGGTGAGCCCCCTAAAAAAAGCAAACACACACACCCAGTACTCTGGGAAAACCCATTCTATCATGATACTTGACAGAAACATTAAAGGAGGAGCTGTCTACTCTTTGTCCATCTCTGTGAATGCTCAGACAGATAGATGGAAGTCAAATAGTCAGCAATATTTTTCATTCATAGTGCATAAGGCCAGATGGCACACATTCCCCATTGACTGAAGATGCCACTCAGCAGCAGAAACCTTCCTGACTAACTGACAGATGTCTGACAACATGAAATAGACTAAAGGATCTCCAAAACCACCACTAGAGGTTTTGGTAGCTGAAGTGGTAAAGTCAAAAACACTAGTGATTAACATGTTCCAGGAAAACGTTTTTATGAAATTCTGAAGAAAATGAACTGAAATAATAACTTATGCTGTTTAATAATCTATGACATGATCAACTTACCGGCCATGAGAACTGGAAGGGAATGACAATCTTCCCAGTGTCGTGACTGCCTTTCTGGCTTCCTCTGAACTGGAAAGTATTCCCACCAATCACCTTGGTGATTTCTAACCCATAGGTGCATGGTCCACCAATCTTCACCTCCTGCTGGTATTCCTTTAAGCACACCCTGAAGTAAGTATCACACTCGTCCAGGCCGCAGTTCCCATCTGCCTGGCGGCCCTCCGAGTCGCAGCAGTCGCCGTTTAGGAGCTGGCCTCTGGGGTTTTCCACCGAGATGAGTTGCAGCTCGAAGTAACCCGAAGACTGACACACCTGAAGGGCAGACAGGAAGGTGAAGAAGGCTAAAGCTGCTTGTCTCTACTGCATGCTTTCAATGTGTTGTATGAACAGACAGAAGTAATTTTCTCATGTGGTGTTCAGCCAGCCAAAGCCAGAAATCTTGTTAGTAGTGTAAAATTTTCACATATTCAAAATAATCTAAGTATATTTTTGTTACAGTGTTCAGCGGCATTTTATGAATTTGACCCATCAAAGTTTCTCTGACTGATGATCAGAAATTCAAATCCTGAAAAATCAAAACATTTTCTCTTTTCAAATCCAACAATTTTATATCTTAATATACACTTTTGTAATTATTTACTTGAGTTTAATAAAAAAAAATCTGACAAATAGACTTACAGATAAACTTGTATCTATAAAAGGATATCATTTGTTTGTTTTTTTCACAAAAAGGTTGCTTGCACATTTTAAAAGCTAGAATTGTTTTCATTAAATAGTAAAATTGTCCTGTGAAGTTGTGATTGTTGTGAAGCACTTTGTTCCATTGAGGTTGTTGTAAATGTGCTATTTAAATAAACTTTGACTTGACTTATAATAATTAAAATTGCAAAAAAAAATTAAATAAAATATGATGGTCAGATTCCTAATTTGTTATGTGAATTTTGAATTATCTGAACAGCATATTTCTTTGTTTCATTCATCAGGAAAACAAAGCCTTTAAGAGTACAGAATGTTTATCAACTCTATCTGAACTGGCTTGCTGAATAACAAAGAGCGGCAGACGACTGGCTGCTAAAAATCGATCCCAAACGTTTCCACCTTCCAAACCCACAAACACTGTTGGAGGAGACATGAGGCTCCAACTGCTGTTTGAGTTCTTAACAATTACTAGTAAGTAAAATAGGGATACGAGTTCTCGAAAGGAGCACATTCTTAGTGAGTCGTGACCCCCAGTGAAGCCAAACCTCAAATTTGGTTTGAGGGCACCAAACTAACCAAGTTTCTCTGAAGTTGATTTCTGTAGCCCTGTGTTGGGGAAAAAGGTGCAATTTCCTAGTTCATGTCTTCTTAATTTCCAACCTGCATGATTTCTGCAGATACTGTACGGTCTGCCAGAGCTCCAGCTCAGCACAGTTTTTGGAGATGCAGTTCAGGTTGCACCTGTTCAACTGACCTTTAGTCTGAAGATGTTTTTTTCTCTTCCCCCCAAAAAGAAAACTAAAATTGACTAATCAGAGATCAGACCTGTTATTTATGTATTTTTACCACTTGCTTGTACAGCAAACTGGAGATTGCCTCACTAATGACAGACATTTCAGACATGGATCATTACTTAACTAATTCAAAGTGACATGATTAAAAATAATATGCAGGTCATGCTGCTGGGAAATATTTGCATTCACTGAAGGGAGTACATTTAGAAAAAAATTGATCTGAGTTCAGCTCCAAATAAATGATGGAGTTACAAAAGATGGGAAGCAATAAAACAAGGAAAAAGCTGAATCAAAAGCAAAGCTATCATTTTGCTTGGAGAGCAACCTGATCAAGTTCTCACCTTCGTGCACACAGTCAGCAGGAAGCACAGTATGAAGAAGCGATGCGCTTTCCCAGGGTTATCCCACATGTCTCCGTCCGCTCAGAGTTAAGGATCATCAGGGAAAAGAAGCAGATATGTGCGCCTCAGAGGGTCAGAATAATGCTGGAGATGGACGGAAAGCAGTATCCAGATAGTCGAGGACGTGCAGGGCTGCAGGAGGAGAAGCGCACCTCTGCCGCTGCTGTCTGAACCGCGTACAGTCCGCCTCCCACCGCCGCTCTGCTCCGGGATCTGAGCAGTGAGACAGCGCAGCAGCAGCGCGTCTCTGCTGTCCAAAGCAGGAGCAGGAAGGCTGCTGCGACCGGCAGCTCAGCGGGCCAATCATAATCCAGCGAGGTGAACCGTTTCTAACTGAGAGCCAATTAGAAGGTGAAACTCCGAAAGGGACTGCTGATGGATTTACTGTTGAGGTTCGTCTCTGATGCGTTGCTACAAGTATTTTAACGACCGTAAGCATGGAGTCGAGTTTCAATTATTTACCATATTAGACTTTTAGATTTTTTCCCCCTTAAAACCTGAATGTAAGGATGCTCCTGATACAATATCTGCTTCCATTCTTATATTCTTATAAGAAGCTTACTAAAGGTTTATCCTCTAAACGAGGGCCATAAATGATCAATGAACACATTCAGTTCAGTGTCGTTCGGTTTTCCTGCGTCCTTTTCAGTCCGCAGGGACAGAGTGGGGCCGAAAGCGCCCTCTACTGACAACTAACTGGCAAAGTCTTGGATATGAGACCGATGTGAATGGATTCACTAACATACACAGAAAAACAAAACTCATTAGAATCTCATCAAAGTAGTTAAGAAAACTTAAATCAAATAATTACATTAAAACCAAATGTAAAAATGCACGTTTAACACAATGTACTACATTCCTCCTTTAAGATAATTTGACTTAAAATAAACCATTACTAGAACTACAACTTTTTACAAATCAGTGCAATATGAATAAACTGAAAAAGAAAGAACAGAAAGAGGCTGATGGTGTTTACCTGTAATCTCTGCTCTATTATTACCAGCTCTTTCTTACAATCAGATGAAATGTTAAACATATTTTAGAGGAAATCTTTATAGCCCTAAACCTAAAAAACTATTAGAAATGCCATCTTTGTGTTTTCACAGTAAATTCAAGTTTTATAAATAATTTGTGCCCATCCAATGACACAATGAGGTATTTCTTAAACTGGCAAGTGATTAGCCCAAAGTTGGACTGTACAGTGCTTCTTCATCTAGTTACTAAACTGGAGGTTGGAAGAACGCAGAACAACCAAAACGGTTCCAGGTTCAAAAAGTAAAACTCCTGATGTGTCCTATCTGTTCACATATATTAAAGAGATTGTGTTGTGCTTATTTATCTTTACTGTCCAGGATATATTCATGACAGCAGTCTGTAAGGATTCAGCTGGAGAAAGTTAATCTGAAGCACCTTCAAGAAGCATTTGGAGTCTACAGCATGGCTGCTGTTCACTCCATTTGTCACAACCATGATGAGTTCACAAGTGGTTTGCTAAATCCAGTTCATGTTTTTCTACTACAATGACACCATCTGACAAGAAAGAGCAGCCTTGATCTTCATTTGTAGTTGCTGTAATTACAAACAGTTTGCAGCTCCAGTTCCTCTGGTCAGAAACAAGAAAAACAGAATCTATAAAACACAATGAAATGTTACCACTTGCTGAAAGAGTGCCACTTTTAGCATAGACTGGATCAACTCATTTATGACTAAGCTGTAAATCAATAAAATATTTAAATCTTTAATACATACTCTTTGTCCAGATGTGACAGTGATCACAGCAGATGTAGAGATGAGTTTCATTGAGTTGGTACAGTTTACCACCATCTTTGTTTAAAAAATACTAATGTGTTTGAATCGTTTTAGAAGAACAACATAAATTGTTTCTGAAAGACCTTGCTTGTGTTAGTAGAACTATGATGACACTTTTTCTTTTGTTTGTAGGGGAGTCTGAGTTATTGACAGAAGCTCTGCTGCCTCCCAAACAAGAAAAAATATTTTTAAAATCCTCTAAACAGCTAACAATCATTTAAAAACTGACAGTGTCCAAAAATAAATATTTCCCATTGTCTGTTAACCAGACAATTGGATACACCCTCTTGGATACAATATCCTTTTTATTGCTTTCACTACTCTGTCACGATCAACAAAATTTGGCTTTTTTGACAAAATTTTAAATTTCAAATTGAAAACTGATTTCTTCTACGGTGCGTCTGTCAGATGCCGTTGCTTCGTGGTCGTCTGCCTGACGCCTTCATTGCGCCTCATCTGCAGCTGATGCCGTTTCTTGTTTCTAAGGGTTCTGACAAGAAACTTACTCCCATGTCTGCTTCCAATGCTCCTCAGTCTGCTGCCACATCGGCAGCTTCTACCAGTAGCACAATAAGCTGCCCTCACTGCTGCTTAACTGCTGGAGCTGTCATCTTCCTGGTCATCACAGGAACTGTTTTTCAGGCCACCACCATAGCAGAAGCAGCTGCACCAGTGCACAAAGCAAGGTCCATAAAAACATGGATGGCAGAGTCTGGTGTGGATGAACTTGACTGACCTGTACATAGTCCTTACCTCGACCCGATAGAACACCTTTGAGATTAATTAGATTTGTGACTGATAGCCAAGCCTTCTCATCCAACATCAATGTGTGTGACCTCATAGATGTGCTTCTGGAAAAATGGTCAAAAATTTCCATTAACACTCCTAAACCTTGTGGACAGATTTCCCACAAGAGTTGAAGCTGTGCAAAGGGTGGACCAATGTCATATTGAACCATATGAATTAGGAATGGGATGTCACTTAAGCTCATGTGTGAGTCAAGGCAAGTGAGCCAATACGTTTGGCAATATAGTGTTTGTAAATATCTGATTCCTCTCACTCTCTCTCTCTCTCTCTCTCTCTCTCTCTCTC